CTCAGTGCGTCAACTTTTTCATTTCAGCATTGTTGTTCAGAGCGTAATGGTTCACATCGATGACTTTCAACTCAGGGCCCCAATTCCAACAACCTGTGATTGAGCGGCCATCAGTCCAGGCTGCCGTCCGCTAGGTTTTGCTCTCTGCTAATAGTTCCATTCGACTGCACTTTCCTCTCATGTCTCTTTCTTGTGGATACGTCCTCTGCACTCCTTTGTGCCCGAGCCTGTGGCTTCGCTTTATGCTATTGTCTTTCGAACGCCGCAATGCCAGTCAAACAAAACCAGATCAAAACAGTCACAGTGTAGAAAGGCTGGCCTTCTTCCAACAAGCACCGCAAAAAAACAAACAAAAAAAAGTTTGTTTTGTAAAGGAGCACGCAGTCATGGAGTGAAATGATGCCCCACAAAAGAGAACAGAGGGAAATCCATTGTTGATTATGCCCAGGGGTTCTTCTCCAGTGAAAGACAAGCCAAAGCCTCGGGGTGAACCAAAACCCAGCCCGTCACTGCTCTGTCATCAGCATCAAACAGCCCGTTTGAAGAGGGCGCTTGTCCCCAACCAGAGGTTCCACTCACGGTGTCGGGTTTCGAACTCAAACTAACCTCCTCAGTCCCCACAAACCTTGTCCGAACTCTCAACGGCCCATAGAGAGCAATCAGATCCTCCTGTTCCTATGTTGAGATGTTGAGGTAAAAGGCAAAAACAGATAAGTGTCTCTCGGACGTGGATCGTCTGTCTCCTCCAAATATCACAGCTGCCTTTTCCTATTTGCTCAACACACGCTGAGCGCGGACCCCGTTTTTCACGCGTCGGCACCGGGTTGGAATCATTTTGGTTTCCTGTCAACGATCGCTTGGGTGTGTTCATATGTCCTTTAGAGCCGACTTGCGGAAAAAGCCGTAACGGTGGCGGAATGTTAGCTGACACTGACAAAAAAAAAAAATGGGTCTCTCCAGCTGGAGAGGACGCAAATTGTGTGTTTGGTAAATCCCGACCTTCAGGATGTGGCCTGGCTCCATTTGTGAGTGCATCACTCATTCCCCAAAACCACATTGTACTTTTGAAGGAACCGTGCGCTAATAGGAAATAATTCCAGGGCGTAGACGCCAACCTCACACCACAATATGAGTCAGGAAGGAGGTGTCATGGGTTCTGAAAGCCCAGATGCGGGATATTAATGAACCAAATGGGAACCGGCTGGATTTCAAGCTTTGCTTTTTTTTTTTTTTTTTTTGGGTTTGTTTTTCTTGTTACCTGTTTTGGCGCTCAGCTCCAAGACTCTCAAATGTGAATCTTTTTGTCCAGATGCCGTCCGGGATTCATCGGTTCGCTCTGTCAGCATCAGGATCCCTGCCGTCGATCGCCGTGTCTTAACGGGGCCGCTTGCAAGAGCCAAGTGGCCGACGGTATCCCGCAGTACAACTGCGTCTGCCAGAGGGGGTTCAGAGGTATGCCCGTCACAATTGGCACGGAGAAAGATCAGCTTCTTGGGAGACTCTTGCAGAATGACCGCCTCTTTAAATGACAGGCCAAGATTGCTCGCTCATTGACGCCTGCGCCACGAGTCCTTGTGCCAACGGCGCCCGCTGTGCCAACTGGAACAATCACTACAACTGCTCCTGCCCACCTGGCTTCCAGGGAAAGAATTGCCGCAGCGACGTGGACGAGTGCCGCAAGCCCGGCGCTTGCCTCAACGCGGGCCTTTGTATCAACACCCACGGGTCCTTCCGCTGCCAGTGCCCGCCCGGGTACAGCGGGCGCACGTGCGAGGTGTCCACCCAGCCCTGCGCCCCCTCGCAGTGCCTCAACGGAGGCACTTGTCGCCAGACCAGCGACCATTCCTATGAATGCGCATGCCTGCCAGGTAGGGTAAAAACTGACACGTCGGTATGGTACGCAGGTGCATCTCAAGATATATTTCATGATTTAGCTTTTGAAATGGGTTTACCGGACGCTCGGAATGTCACTGTGCACATCTCTCCTGTATTCTAATTTGAAACATGTCATCCTAAAAAAATAAGTGCAGAGTGACTATTAAGAATACCCGAATACCAGTGCGTGAAACCCCAACTTTTTCCAACTCCAAAAATTACAATTCGACATGAAAAATTTCCCTTGAGTTTTATCCATCCATTTTCCGATCCGCTTCTCCGCACAAGGGTCGCGGCGGGTGCTGGAGCCTATCCCAGCCGCCAGCCGTCTTCGGGCAGGAGGCGGGGGACACCCTGAACCGGTTGCCAGCCAATCGCAGGGCACACAGAGACGAACAACCATTCACGCTCACATTCACACCTAGGGACTATTTAGAGCGTTCAATCAGCCCGCCTGCATGTTACTGGAATGTGGGAGGAAACCGGAGTACCCGGAGAAAACCCACGCAGCCTTGAGTTTTACGAATCAGTCAAATTTTTTATTTTTTTAATTGAATGACTGAAATAAATTCAAATTACAATTTTCTGAGAGAGATTTTCGAAATTCAAATTACAATTTTCTGAGATGCACCTACACACGTTTCTATCTTACTTGGATTCGAATGTTTGTTTTCGTTGTCAATATTTTGCAATGGCATCAAAAGTCATCATCTATAACAGTTGCAACTGCACTTGTACGACGTGATAAGTTTGAAGTCCAGTGTTCCCTTTGCGGTTCAGTTATTGCGTATTCACTCTGTTGTGGTTCTTCATTTGCGACCATAACTTCATGTAGTGCAGTTTTACCCCACTATTTCGCCACGTTTTCCTGCTATTTTTCTTCCTCCTTAGATCAGTCAAAAATGTTTTATTTCATTTTTTTAAAACAAAAAAAAAAAACAATCATCAGCGGCTTGTATTTATTTTACGTTTTGCATTAACAAGTAACAAGTGTTTAAATGGGTGGGAACCGTTCGCGTGTGTGTGTGTGTGTGTTGACGCTGGTATGATGTCACACCACGTAGCTGATGCCATCATTGCTATCCCGCCTACACAAAGGCAAGCCAAATTTTCAGCAAGCCCACTGGAGCCGTCCCACATGGGAGGGCCTCGGCTTTGCACACATGCAAACCATCAACTATCGCCGAGCGGAGGCCCACTGTTTTCCCAAGACTGATGATTTTTTTTTTCCCACGGCTGATGACGTCGTTTCGAGCACCGCTGCTGCGATCGACTCCCGCATCACAGGTCGGCTTCCTGCCTGCTATTTATAGCCCCTCGATGAGAAACGGGGCGGCGGCGGTGGTCAGAAGTCGGAGGAGGCCGTCCGCCCACGCACCTTCACCGCTACGTCCACAACGGGAGGAATTAACTTTATGGACCTCATGGCTATGCCGCTGGGGAGCCGACAGGAAATGTCTCTTGCCAGAAAGGAAGTCATTGAAACTGAAAGATGATAAAAACAAGCAAACGCGGTGGGGAGCGCAGCCCGTGGCGGCTGTTGCCGGCGTCGTGTGGGAACTGTCACGAGTGGATGTAAACAGTCGGACACCCTCTCAACCTTTTAACTGCCTCGTGCCGCCCCAAAGTGTGGGAAATGTGACTTGTGGCGATGAGTTCAACTGATGATGTTCCAAACGGGGGTGGCGACTTGCTGTGTTTTTCGCTCGCCATAACACTTTTTTTCTCCGCTCCAGGCTTCGAGGGACACAACTGTGAGAATAACGTGGATGACTGCCCGGGCCACAAGTGTATGAATGGCGGCATATGCGTGGATGGAGTCAACACGTACAATTGCCAGTGTCCGCCTGAATGGACAGGTACGGCGCATCATATTTCAAGAAAACTTGACATGTGAGCGATGTGAGCTCAATGACGCGTAACCACCTCACCACGCCAGGCCAGTACTGCGCCGAGGACGTCAACGAGTGTCTCATGCAGCCAAACGCCTGCCACAACGGGGGGACGTGCTTCAACACCATCGGGGGCCACACGTGCGTCTGCGTCAACGGTTGGACGGGCGACGACTGCAGCGAGAACATCGACGACTGCGCCATCGCCGTTTGTTTCAACGGGGCCACGTGCCACGACCGAGTCGCCTCCTTCTTCTGCGAGTGCCCGGTCGGAAAGACGGGTAAGTAAATGCATCACCCGAGTGGAACCTTTGGGCGGGAATTGAATGCACGAGGGCCGCATTTAACTCATTCGGTACCAGCCAATTCTGGACCAAGTCTGAAAAGACGTTTAAAAACGTCATTGGGGGTGAATGAGTTCAGTACGAAACGGGCAGATAGGCCTTGTAATTTGTCTGATGGGATAAAACGTACACTGAGATATGAGCCGTTTGGCCAATTTATTACCTAATTTTTTTGTTTTCGTTGGCTTGCATGCAGAAATTTGATCGCTATAAGGTGACATTGAGCTCAACTCATTTCATAACAATCAGCAGTTTGTCAGATAGCGAATGTTTCTTCCAAAAAATAAAAATAGGCTTTAAGATATTTACTGCAGTTGAAGTCGAATGTCAAACTCAACATAAAACAACGAGAATTAGCCGTCGTGTATATTGAAAACAACCACTTCATGTTGCCCTCGACACAGGCCCGGTCGCGTAATGCCGTTCAAAAAATATCATCGGGCATTATTTCACCTTTGCCGCCTTCATTAGGTTTGCTGTGCCACCTTGAGGACGCTTGCGTGAGCAACCCCTGCAACGAGGGAGCCGTGTGCGACACCAATCCCCTCAACGGCCGTGCCATTTGCACCTGCCCTGCCGGCTTTGTGGGAGGCGCTTGTAACCAAGACATGGACGAATGCTCCATCGGTATGTCTGCTACTTGTCGGTTGTCAATGAACTCTTGCCATCGCCGCACTTTTGTGTCCCACCCCCTATGTCCCGTTTGACTTGATGAAATTCCCATTTTACCCTCGCAGGCGCAAACCCATGCGAGCACTTCGGCAAGTGCGTCAACACCGAGGGCTCGTTCCAATGTCAATGCGGCCGGGGATACGCTGGCCCGCGTTGCGAGATCGACATCAACGAATGCTTGTCCACGCCTTGTCAGAATGACGCCACTTGCCTCGACCGCATCGGAGAGTTCACTTGCATCTGCATGCCAGGTATCGGGACCTAGCCGAGAATGATCTGTTCCTTCGCCATAGCGACTGCCAGAGCGGGCTATTATGTAATAATAGAGTGCCATTGCTGTCCCGGGGGGGCAAGGAGGGCACTTGCCTGCTCTCAGCGCACTGTACAACCAGACAGAGAGGGTATTAGCGCAGACAAAGTGAGGGTTTGGACTCCGGGTGAAGTCCAAAACCAGAGTGAAACTCTCACGCACAGTCCGACATGCATCCCGGGGTTTTGGGAACTATACAAATTAGAGCTGGGAGTGGGCTCTATAGGACTGGATGTGAGAGAGGGCGAGCAGTTAGGGGGAGCGCTGTGCTCTGAATAGTAATGAGTTGTAGAGTGGTGGGAATGGAGCGGAACAATAGGGCCCCTCTGTGCTCCACTTTGCACCCTCATACACACAGAGAGGGAAAAGGAGGCCTTTTCCCAGAGGCTCCCCCTTTACTCCCCACACCACCCCCTTTTTTTTTTTTTTTTTGCTTTCCAGAGACAGGCCCTTCCTCCTCACCCTCCTCATCGCCAGGCGGCCTGGCAATGCTCAGGTGGACCCGCTGATTATTTCGGATTTCCACGCTAGCCGCTCCGCAGGTTTCCACACTCGGCTTCACCTCAATGGAGCGGGAGGGGAGGGGGGGGCCTTTGTAGGTTTCCTAACAGCGAATGGATAATGTACATCTGGTGAACGGGGACATTGACCCCCAGGGTCTTGCGATGCTCCATGGACAGCGGCCCGTGAGGATTTGAGGACAGTGGATCCTGCGGGCCGCTAATGGTCCCCGTGCGGGAATTAAAAAAAGGGGGTTCTCACAGAATCGGTTTCCCATGGCGGAGAACGGAGACCATTCATAAATACACACATACGCAAAGCAATGGACGAAACAGAGGGGTCACCAACGTGGGCCCCTGCGTCGGCCGCAAGGACCACATGTGTAGCCCGCGGGCCTGTTCTAAAAATACCTCACTCGTCGTGGGATAATTGTGATTTCCCAGGAATTATTAAAAGTCATTTTACTGTTCTTTCAGAAGTGTGTATCAAAACTCGTAGGCCTTCTCATTAATCAGTACCCGAAAAGTAGCGGTCAGCTTGAAAAAAGGAAGCCTGCTTTAACGTGTGTACTCACGTGCAAACTTGTCTTGTAGGCTACACGGGGACTTACTGCGAGACCGACGTCGATGACTGCGAGAGCAACCCGTGTGTGAACGACGGCATCTGTCGGGACATGGTCAACGGCTTTGCGTGCACCTGCCAACCTGGTAAGATGAGTGTTTGTCATCAAATACACGGGGGGGGGGGGAGGGGGGGGGGGGGGGGGGGGGGAATTTTTGCTGTTTTTAATAGCAAAAAAATGCAAGGCCCAGTTTGGTCAACAAAATACACAGAGAAATATTTTTTTATAAATATAGAGGAAATATCCTTATTTGTGTGCACATGGTTTGAATGTCACTCCCAGACAGTCCAAAGATGCTGTTTTTGGAACATTGCACTTGTTAAAACAAAAAAGATGAAACATTCCTCTTGCCAAAACAAAGATACTATTGTGACCCCCCCCCCCTCCCCAAGACCCCTCCTTTGCAGAATGTAGAAGCGATAGCAGTCTCCCTCAACTTGCTGCTTGGTGTTGAAGTGGTGAAGTGGGGGTACAGCAGTCCTGCTAATGAGATTCTTTTCCAGATCCGCAATTTACATCTGGGACAGACGTCTCCCCCCCCCTCCGCCGCCTCTCCATCTCGCTATTGAGTCAGTGGAGCTGATGTAGGAAAAGGGTGGAGGTCGGAGGGTGGAGGGGGGGGGGGTCAAAAGAGAAAACAATCACACTGTCTCCTCTACTAACACCCCCCATCAGCACCAACACACAGCCCATCCTCACATTGTTAATCAACAGAGCAGCGTGCTAGCATTGTAGCACTTCACCCCGCCCCCCTCCCCGAATCTGGGCACTTTGCCCACCGATTTCACGGCCACGCAGTTTTTCAAGCCTTCAAAGCAACCGAGTCGTACCGTGCTCATCTTTTTTTCTGATCGGGACCAAATTCACGTTGGTTGATACAACTTCTATTCACTCCTTTGCATGATCTTGAAAAGCCATCAAGGTCGTGGGATTTTTCCATCAGCATCCTTAACCAGTCGCAGCCAGACATCTCTGACCACGCCGGAGACCTTTGCCCCCAGCTCCGCCACTAAAAAGGGACAAAACCGCCCTCGGGCTGCTCTCTGACCCGTCGCCTCTATGTTTGACTGTCCCAGGCTTCACCGGCACCATGTGTCAGATCGACATCGACGAGTGCGCCAGCACGCCCTGCCAGAACGGCGCCAAGTGCTACGACCGACCCAACGGCTTTGAGTGCCGATGTGCCGAAGGTAAGTTTCTGGGTTGCCTTTACGCATTTCAACAGGAGACTAAACCACTTGTTGTGGCTTTGTATTTCGGGAGGGGGGTCATCTATTTGTCCACAAGCTGACTTGAGGCCGCTAATCCACCCCCCCACACAAACCCCGCCGCCCCTCTCAAGATCACAGGGTCACCATTAGTTGCCAAGAAAAGAACCTTGGTCGTCACCCCGACATCTGTTCATTTGTTCATCTGTTCAGTCTCCCCCCCGACACCACCTTATGGTGTCCCCCGTCCCTCATTCCTTCACATGCGGCAGTTTTATTAAGCCCAAAAAAAAAAAAAAAGCATAAGATCAACGGGATCCTGTTGGGAAGCATGGCGATGTTTGTTAACTACTTGTTTAGCGTTTATTTGGGCCTTTGCCCATAGATAGGGTCTGCTTCATTGTTTCAAATGCCAGCTGCTTGGTATTCCCTGTATTTGCCGCCCCCCCCACCCTCCCCTGCAGGGTGAAGTGGCTCTGTTTGACGTGCTGCGGCCCGCCATTGTTCCCTCCGCCACAGAGAACAAAAGCGGGCCTGGGGGGCCTTGGGTAGGACTTTTCTTTGCTGCTTCGCCCAACTCAGCGGCACACCGTACACAGCAAATAAACCAACCCTTGTCTGACACACAGACAACCTGTTGTCATGGAAACCAAAGCTGCAAAGACCCTTTTTTTTTTTTTTTCGCTTTTGCAAACATGGGAAATGTTTGTTTCAGTGAAGAATTTAATTCAGGGTATTAATTGTTTTTTTGTTGCCGGCCACATCGTAGTTGTGGAAGTGAAATTTGGTCAAATTATGATGATACTAATGCAGCGTGTTATACCGGAGACAAATTCCTTGTGTGTTCTACATACTTGGCCAATAAAGATGATTCTGATTCTGATTCATATATTTTTTTTTTCTTTATCCATTTATAAATGGTCAATCCTTACTTGTGTGTTATTTTTACAAATTATTGGTCAATCTTAAGTGTTGCAAATGGCCGCCGCTTGTTGACAACGCAATATTGTCAGCAAACATTCCGTTTGTTTCCTGAAAAGTGATGATTTTGGAGGTATCAGAATTCATGACCCGAATAAGAACAAGCGGTAAAAAAAAAAAAAAAAAAATGGACGAATGAAGAGGCTGAGGTCAAGGCTGTTTTCGTGTTAAATGTTAACAGTTCCATCAATCTCCAACACAGTACCAATCTGTTCTCCTGTCATTAGGATATGAAGGTACGCTCTGCGAGAGCAACATCAACAACTGCCAGCCCGACCCGTGCCACCACGGCACCTGCGTGGACGGCATCGCCAGCTATACCTGCAACTGCGACGCCGGGTACACGGGCTACCGCTGCGAGAACCAACTCAATGAGTGCCACAGCAACCCTTGCCAGAACGGAGGCAAGTGCGTGGACCTGGTCAACAAATACATCTGCCAGTGCCAACATGGGACATCAGGTACAAACGAGACTTGCGGCTAAATGTTGACAATATCTAATATCCGCTCTTAAATTAGATCGGATGATGCACGAAAATGGTGGGCTATGGCTTATATCAGAAATGAATCAAATGTTCTGCCTCGCAAAGCGCTGCTTTTATTGTTTTCAGTGATGACCAATTTTGTTTGAAGTTGTTCTGCTTGTAGTATCCAGCCAATATGGAAGATTTTGAAAATGTTCATTGTGGGGGGAATTCCTTTCACTTCATGGGCGGGAAAAGCATTTCAAACTTTGCTGTCACGACAGGCACCAACTGTGAGATCAATTTCGACGATTGTGCCAGTAACCCGTGTGACTATGGCATGTGCAAAGATGGCATCAACCGCTACGACTGCGTTTGCAAGCCTGGCTTCACCGGTAAGTCACTTGGAATTTGATTAGACACAGCCGTTTTTTTTTTGTTTGTTTTTTGTTTTTGTTTTTGTTATTTTTATTTATATATCTATCTATATATATATATATGTATATATATATATATATATTCAATATTATAAATTAAAAAAAAAATTGTCCATGAAAATTCATAACACCATTTTTTTAATTTGCAAATATAAAATATTTGAATTTTATAATCACGCTACTTATTTTTGTCAAATTTAAAAATAAATTAACAAGAATACATTTTAAATGTTACAAAATATCACGCTCATACTAATTGTTTATTTTTTTTTACCCTCTGTTAAAAATAAAAAATTGGACATTCCTGATATTCACATTTAAATTTCATTTGCACAGCATTCTTGACACTCGCTATCTTGTCAGGTGCCAAGTGCAACGTGGAGATAGACGAGTGTGCGTCGAGCCCCTGTCGCAACGGAGGCACGTGCGTGGACGAGGAGAATGGCTTCCACTGCCAGTGCCCGGAGGGATTCAAGCCGCCGTACTGCTACTCGCAGGTGGATGAGTGCGGCAGCAGCCCCTGCATCCATGGGGCGTGCAGGGACGACATCAACGGGTAAGCGCGCAAAGACGACGTGCATTTTGAATTGTTTTGGGCATTAAAAAAAAACAAACGCATTTTCTTTGCGTCTTTGCAGTTACCGC